ACCGAAATGCTGTGTAAGCTGATGGTTGATATTAGGGAATGAGGGACGGTTGCGAATCTATCTCCCACAAAGGATGCTCTTGTCGAGGCGGTGTCACTGACATGTTGTGAGCAACTGGCTAGCACGACGAGTATCGGACGGATGGCCTTCTCGCGACACCACCTGCCACACTGGCGTGAGGAACTTTCTGGGCCTGGGCTGGCTCGTGGATTTGTTCTGGCTGCCGTGGCCTGGCCGATGTCGATCTCATGGATGGTTTCCCTTTGGTTTCCCTTTGAATTTGGTGGACCTCTTTAAATGGTTTCCCTTTAGTTTCTTGGATTTCATCTCTTTTTTCAAACCCTTTGGTGTCCCTTTTGTTTCCCTTTGGTTTCCCTTTGGTTTCCCTTTGGTGTCCCTTTGGGTTGCCTCTGGTTTGCCTTTGAATTGCCTTTTCAAACCCACCCAATAAGGGCACCCTGCAGAACCACACCCCGGCACTTTTTTGCCGTCCAGTTTCGGGACCTCAAGGGATCAGATGGAAGTTGCGAGTGACATACAGTGGATGGACAATATCCTTCCAGTTGCCTAAGAATATGTACTGTTTTCCCCTGTTGGTTTTACAGGGAATCTATCACTGTTGGACATAGTTGTTTTGTTTTTGTTTTTTTTTTGTTTTCATGGGTCTTGAGCAAATGCACCAAATTCATTTCGCGCGACTTTGAAACCATGGCTAAAACCACACATTATGTTCGCACCACGAAATGATGCCATGGATGAGATCATAATGTTTGCTACGGTATTTACAGGGGAATCATCATTTCTTAGGTGGTGAGAAATGGAGTTTGTCCACCCACAGTAGCTGTTGAGCGTTGGCATGTGCTTGAATCCTTGGATGGCCGTTTCCAACAATTCTTTCAGAGCGTTGCTTTGCATTGCATTGCTTTGCTTGCTTGCCTGCTTGCTTAGGCACTTTCTTGGACGCTGTCGGAAATCTGTCGCCAGGTACTACACCAGATCCTGCAACAGCAGAGTTCCGGCGGAGGTGGCCGTGAAAGATGGAAGCTGTTCCAGGCCCGGACGAAGCACGCCCGAAGCTGCGGTCCAGGGTCATCGTCTGGGCCGAAAGTTCCCCAAACGAGGCACCAGGTTCGACCGATGCAACCGATGCAACCCCAGCCGTGTGGGTTTGTTTTCTCGGTCTAGGGGGTCTAGGGGAAGCCGCCAGAGTGAGGATGCACTTGCCATGAGCCGGCCGGCCATTGGCACCAGCAAAGTGCGGACAACATGACCGTGGAATTTCCGTTTTGGCCACAGCTCGTCTCAAAGCGGGCATGTTTCACAGTGCCACAGAACTCTGGTTGGACTTCCAGACTTCAACCTACCCCCAGCTAGGTGCCCTTTTACCCTTTTACCCTTTTTTGGGGAAGGGTTTCCCAACTAAAATAGACTACAGAAAAAATTGGTACCCTTATTCAAACCGCTCTACTGCAGGACAGTCAATTTGGCAGAAAATGTGTGGCGCGATCGGCGCAATTTGCGGAGGCTTTGTTGCTGCATGCCAATGGTAGGGCTGGCGCCGATCTCAGTCGTCCGTGCGTTTGCATTGGTTGAAGCATGTCCCGTCTGAAAGAAGAGGGCAGCCTTCCAAAGCGCATCGCAGCTCCGCACATCTTCAACCTGCCTTGTTGGCCCAGCTCGAAAGCATGGCTCTACAGCCAGCTTGGCATCATCTGCCAACCAAGGTGGTGGTGGGTGGTTTTCTTTTCGTAATCTTTGGAGTCAAGAGCTCAGTGTCAGGGAAGTTGGACACCTGCAAGACCATAGCGTGCCTGGTCAGATGCCAACGGCATTGCACAATACGGGGGTCATCGACCTCGAACGGAAGCTGGCAGGCAGAGCCATGTGCACGGTGTCCTTTCATGGGTTCCACCGGTCTGGATGGGTTTGATGCCCTCCGTTTGCCAGAAAAGCCATCCATTGTTCTGTACAAGCTCATCTAGACTGTTCACGCGGGGGTTGATCAAAAGGTCCGTGACACATGGGATAACCATTGCTTGCAGAACCACCAAGATGATATATGTCGCACAGGGGAAAAGTTACTCATGGTCAACACTGGGGGCCCTAAATGGAATATTGGTCGTGGCCAGGAACGGCTGGCAACCCCTATGCAGCTTTGGCCGCAGAGAGGTTCCCTTCCATTTGCAGAAGAATATGTGCTGTGTTCCCCCGTTGTTTGTTTTGGGGAATCTATCACTACTGGAGACTTGTTTTTTCCTGGGGGTTGAAGCAAATGGACCTCGAGGGGTTGCGACCGATCGGTTTGGTAAAGGCAGACCTCGAAATATGTTTCGATTTGGCCAATCTGACAATGCACAGGGCGTCACCCAATCAATTGTACTAACAGGAAGTTTGATAATTAGGAACGATTGTATGGATTGATTGTTGGGAGCTATATATATATAAATAAATAAATATATACACATATATATATATATAATATATACTAAATGGCAGAGACCATGGAGCCGAGGCTGAGCTTTCGGGGGGCAGTTTCTGCGAGCTCCGTCCATGCCACTAGAGCGATCTCGCCTTTCAGCTGCGGGGGTTCTTGCAGCTGAGGGTTCCGGATTGATCTGGAGTGGACGGTGGCTGTTTCCAGCGCTTTTGAGCCTCCGGAAGGTTCCGGAAGGCTCCGGATCAAGTCTTGTCTTTTTGTGTAAGTTCCGCGGAGCAGCCTCTGGATAGGATTCCGGTTGCCTCCGTTTGGCTCCGTTTGGCTCCACAGGGTTCCTGTGATTGGCTGGTATTTGGGCTTCGGAAGGTTCCGGATTGCTCAGGGTTCCGAAGGGCTCCGCGGGTTGCGGTGGCGGTTTTTATTCACGACTTGGGCTTATCAGGGCTCCTTAAAAGATGCATGTTGCAACCATTTGAAACATGGTTCTTTTTCCACCAAAATAAAGGGAAGCCACCATTTACAAGGCAATGTTCAGGTGTAGAATGTAAGGATCCCTGCTTATTGTAGAGATTGCGGGCAACGTTTTGGCCGCATCAGTCTCTGAATGTTGCCCAGTGTGCTGCGAATCCCAGGTGAAATGTCCGATTCGGATACCGGCTGCGTTGCGAAGGTAATTCTTGACATCGACAAGTACGCGTCTTCAGATGAAGTCTGGAAGGTGGGACGCATGCACCAGCAGTCAGCGGGCTTTTCTCACACCCACGTAGCCCAATGCATTCCCTGGCAGTCAGCGAGCTTTTCTCACTCAATCAAAGCAGTGGTGTTTTTTTTGTTCTCATTCAGTCAGCACCCAGCTTGGGCTCGCAAACAGGGGGCTCCGAGCATGGCCTGCATGGCGTCGAGCGTCGGCCAGGCGTACACCCTCCAGTCACGGGAAGTGGAGAGCTCCAAGGAGACTTGAGTTTTTGTCCATCTGCTGAGAAAGAAATACTTGTATGTATATATATATGCAACCCAACCCCCCATGGATCTACCTTTGTGATGGGGGGGGTACCATATATATATATGTATATATATATATATATACACATATATTTACATATGTTTGTGTAGTTTCCCTCAGTTGCTTAAGTGTTTTTTTTAGATGTTCTCCTAAGTTGGTTTTAAAGGGAATCGATTTCACTACTGGAAATATGGTTTTCTTTTTTTCTCCCCCTTAAGTTGGTTTTACAGGGACAGATGTGTTTATTGTGTGGAATTTATAGGGGTCATTCCCTCATTTTCTTAAGATTTGTTGTGATAGTTTCCCTTGTTGGATTTAAAGGGAATCGATTTCACTACTGGAAATGTTTATTTGTTCGGGGGACTGAAGCAAATGAAGGAGAAGCATCCGAAAAAAAACCAATGTGAAGCCGGAACTTCCCTTTGACCGTAGAATGGGTGTGTCCGTTTTTCAAGGCTTGGTAGCCCTATTTGGTAGGTTTGAAAGGGAAACCAAAAGAAAGACCGAAGCCATTTTGGGGGGGTCCCTTCACAATAGCACACACCCAAAGGTAAAATCTATTTAAAAGAGATTCCAGAAGAGAAGTAGAGCTTGGGAGCCAAGTTGGTTGCAGCCTTTGGGTCGACGTGTTTCAGGGGGTTTGATGCGAGCAATTTTGGGATTCGGCTGCCCTGGATTGAGGCATGCAGGGAAGCAAACAGGGAAGCAACAGGGAAGCAACAGGGACACACACAGTGACACACAGTGACACACAGTGACACACAGTGACACACAGTGACACACAGTGACACACAGTGACACACAGTGACACACAGTGACACACAGTGACACACACAGTGACACACAGTGACACACAGTGACACACAAACATATACAATCACAAATGCGCAAAGAAAAAAAGAAAACATCGTTTGGGTCCCAAACCTTGTTGGCCAGCTTAGTAGTTAGTTCTTCCCGATTCAATAGGGACTGTAGGAAAGCCTGCAGCGACCTCTTTGGCCATGTTAGTAGAACCCAATGCGCTGCTTTGGCTGCGCCAGTCGCAAGGCTGGAGATGCCTGATGCCAATCTCCTAGGAGTGCAAAGTGGGGGCGTCCAAAAGCGAGAGCAAGGTGTGCAGAATGAAGAAGAAGGACTTGAAGAAGGCTAGATGGTGCATGGAAGGGATCCGTTCCAGAGCTAGGGGTATCTAAGTTTTCTTTTGAAGAGAGAGTGGAGACTGGGTGTTTGTCATGTCCGTAGCCTCGATTTCCAGCGTCGACTCTGAACGGAGAGTTTTTCAGGCCAATGGAAGTTCTGCCCCAAACCACATGGCAAGTTGAAGGAACCTGGAGTCTCCATGACCCTTTAAAAATGGGTCCATGACCCCTTTATTTTGGGTAATGACCCCATTTTTAAAGGATCCTGGAGACTCCAGGAAGAGCTTTTGGGCATGTTGATTTCCCTTTGGGCTGTTGCTCCGGAACCCCCCGCAGTTCTCGCTCTATTTGCCTTTTTCTTTTCCCCTGGGACTCTGATTGGAAAGTGTCCAATGAAACCCAGCTGGGTGATCAAAAACTGCCCTGGGAACATCCGATGGCCAACTCAATATTGCAACCGAACAAGTTAAAACCCAACGTAAGTCCATTGTGGTTGGTCGACTTGCAATATTCAGGCAACCCTGAATTGGAGGATAGTCGTGGATATTGGTGGTTTGGATTGGTGGTTTGGAGTTTGATTCGAACCCCTTGTTCTTGTGGTTAAATGGGAACCACCCCTTGGCCACCAAACCACCAATCCAAACCACCAGTTAGAGGGAAGCTGCTATTTGCTGAAAAGAATAGGTTGTTGTTTTCGTTTGCTGGTTTTCAAGGGAATTGGTATCACTACTGTATCACTCATTGGTATCACCAATTGGCGGGCAGCGGAAATTTAGAAGCAGGAGGGGACGCCAAAGGTTCAGTTCTTTGAGAGGCTGCGGAATTCATCACCGGCGCCAGCAGCGAGGCAACCCAGGCACCCGGCTCTGTTGTGATTGTCTGTGGTTTCAGCAAAAGGGTACGTCCTGGGCCCTGGAGTGTTTGCACCCAAGCGTTTTTTATTTCTGCTTCTTGGATTTCCACTCCTTTCCTTTTGAACCAGCTGAGTTTGGTGATTTGGTCTAAGTCTGACTGAAGAAATCAGGAACTTGTCATACCAAAGTCAATTCCTTCACGTGCCCAAAGACCGGATTGCCAATTGTTGGTCTTCCATGCGCGTGGGCGCTGCATTGGGTCGCAAGTGGTCACTTGTGTGCTTTCGGGAAGGCTTGAAATGGACAGCTAGCTCAATGAAAGCGAATGAATTGAGCAATTGCCGCAAGCTCAAGAACAGCCGTGCCCAAGCGCAAAACGGAAGGTTGCATCTCCATCTCCTCGGGATGCTATGAGCATGTTCCAAGCCAGGCTTCGCGGGCGAAGCGGAAGAAGAAGAAAAGGTCTTCCGGAGACGATGATCATGACGAGTTCGACATTTGGTTTGAACGCAGGAGGCATGGATTGGTTGCTGTCATTGTGTTCACCGCTGTGATTGAGGCATGTCCGTGCGCAGGGAAGAGTGGAGTGCATTGGTGGATGAGGTGAGGGAAAGACGCTTGTCGGCAAGCCTTGCAACCACTCTTGCGAGTGTAATATGGGCAATGCGCAAATGCTTGCGACAAAACAGCAGCACCACTTGCGGGTTGAACAGTGTTGTGCGCTCATCAATGGATGGGAACTGCAAGTCTAGGGACGTTTCTTGGCGGTGTCCACCTATCCCCCTGAGGCTTTTAGTTGTTTTTTGTGGGTTTCGCGGCTGGCTTTCTTAATGTTAAGCCACGAGACTTCTGCAAAACGGGCAACCGGCTTTGGGACCGGGGACACGACCAGGGCTATCTTCCCGGGGTCTTTGGCCCAGGCAGCACTCGCTGGTTCAGCTCCGAGAAGGCCGGAGGGGGGAAACTCAATCCTTGTCCAGCGAATCGCTTGGGTTGCTTCGGGAGTTGGGGGCAAAAGAAATTCAAGAGCTAGGGCTTAAAGCGCAGGTTTTAGTCTTTGGTTCCACTTTCCAAGGTGCCAATTTGGTATTTGATTTAGTTGGTGAAAGGTGGTAGAGCTACCCGGGTCCTTGGGTTTCTAGATTTGCTTAGTTCGTGAAAGGTGGTATTTTCCACACCGCCAAGAGTGTTCGACTTTTTTGGAGGGAATTTGAGGACAGCCCAGAATCCTGATGCCAGGTGGTAGTGATTTGCTTTGTTGCATCGGTTTTTGTACGGGTGGTTATGATCCCCTCCAGTTTTGAATCCTGTGTAAGCGGTGAACAACATTGCGATATCGGTTTAGGGTGTGCCAGTATCGCAGATGTTCATTGCTGAAGGACATGCCCGTGTGTCTTTCTTTGGGCAGCCTTTTCGCGCATTCACGTGGAGGGGCGTATGACATCAATGACAGCTGACACGCCCCTCCACGTTCTTGTGCAGGCGGGTGATGAGTTGTAGCCTTTCACCTGTCACTGCCTTCAGAAGACTGTCGGCGGCAAAAAGGCGGCCGCTTGAGCCCAGAGAAGTTCTACTGGTTGCCTTGAGGCATCATGAGATCGCACAGGCATGTCAGTTTCTGATGTTGCTCGGTCAACAAAAGCATCCGAACTATTTCCTATCCCTACTGTGGATGGACGAAATGCTAGAAACTATTGAATGATGATTATCCTGCAAATACCAACAAACAATGGTTCCCACGGTTTCATTGTGTGCAGGAGTTCGTCCATCCACAGTATGAATAAGTGCATGGTATCAATAAGCCATGGTTCGTCCTCCAGACCCTGGTCCCGCTGTGAACCATTACTTATCTCAAATAGGGTCGGCGTTGGGGGTGGGTGACGGGGGGGGTGGCAGAGACCAGGGAAATAAGTGAAGTTTGCAAGTTGAGCCCGAATAAGCATAAGGCCAGAATGCAACCGACAAAGCACGGCACAAGCTAAATCTGAGATAGTGTGCAGCCTGTACTGAATCGGGCCGTGTTGCATGCTTTCTATTAGCAAACTCGAGCATATTGTTGCAGAGTCATTTTATGCTTGTGCAGTACGCCATTTGTTGTGAACAATAATCAATGCCTGGGCAGTGCGTGCTCCAGTTCAAAGAAATGTGTGAACCGGTGTTTCCGAGAAAGGGTGGAGTTCATGCGGACGAAGTCCAACAACTTCAATGCGTAATTTTGGCTGTGAACGCAAGATACGACCATAAGATAGAAAGTTGTCTACAGGAAATTGACCACCTATCCGAATAAAAGAAAAAAGATTCAGAAACCAAAAGCACAGATAAAATCCATTAAATCTACTAGATGTAACTATTATAAAATTGAATGAAAAAGAGAGACTTCTCATAAAGTAAAATAAGATGACGATAGAAGTAAATAAGATAATGAATCCTGCATTTTTATTTGGCACAGCTTTTAACATAGCATATTGGCATAAGAAATAGCATTCAGGTACTATATGCAAAGGAGTTAGTAATCCACATGCTTCTAATGCATTATTTGGATGTGAGAAAGAAGAGAACCCGGAGGTAATTTGAAGAAGATATAGATAGAGAATTAACATATTTCCATAGAACTCGTTACTAATAATGAAAGGACAAATGCTATTTTATTATTAGTGGAATTCCTGTTAGGATTATTAGAAGATAGAAAATGTAGATTAAACATATGATAAAGAAGAAAACCACAAGAAGAAATGGACATAGACAGACAAAGAACCTCTTCAATGTTGGATTGTAAACATAAGCTTTATGAGTAGGGGGAAGGGATTTAATGGACTGCTTTGGAATGATATGAGTTAGATGTTGCGGGATGTGATAACTTCAGCTGAAGACCTGCCTGCTGTATTGCACCTTCACGCGCCAAGGTAGCAGTGGTAGCAGGCGGAAATGCAGCGGAAATGGCCTCAAAGGTTTCATGGACACTGCGCAGACTGAACATGTGGCAACTGACAACGGCAAAGCGGAATCAGCACCGCTTTAAATAAAGAGACCAGCCTGAAGCCTGGGAGTATCGGGTGTCGCAAAGAAGTGACCTATGGGCCGGAGGCGCGACGCTTGCACTGAGATGTTCGCTCATCTGCAAGGTGTCCGTGACTTTGAGAGTTTCTCACGCCGAGAGTGTTCAAGCCACAGCCATATCAACTCAGACTGTCAGTTTTCGGAGGTCCGGCATTTGGAGACCAGCCCACCTTGTAAAACAACTGAGCCACAATCAAAACCCGGGTGGATGAAGGTTAAGGGGCAGTCCCAGCCAGAAATAGTTGCGGATATCCGCCTTAGTTCTTTCCATGGTTCTAGGTAGACCATTTCAATGCCAGGTTTTGAGCAAGTGACTCAACTGGCTCCGCAGGTGAGGTGAGTGATGGAGACGCCTAGCCGCCAGTGCCTGTTTCCGAGCCTCGAGAAGCAGGCCGCGACTGGAATGGTCCCACGGGTGCAGGAGCATAGGTGGCCTTTTTGGTTTCGGTTGAAAAAGAGAGGCTCGGCGATTCCTGGTTTACCTGGTGGTTCAATCAACCAGGGATTTTTGATCCATCTGTTTTCGCAAGAAAATAGGGACACCTATGGGCAGGAGGGGTGTTAAAGGGGCCTTGTTGGGACATTCTTGTCATGCCCTCCTCGCCGTTGAAGTTTTCCAAGAGGATGACCATTCTCTGAAAGGCCCCCCAGCTCAGGGCGGTTTTGGAAATGCTGACATGTCAAGCAGCGGGAGCTTGTTGCCCGATCCAGGTGGACAAGCTGCGATCTGGATCTGGTAGCCGGTCACAGCCATCATTGAGGTTCGGAGCTTGCAGATGTTGATGTTTGCAGCGAGTGGCTCTCCGGACTCCTACCTTTCAGATACGGCTGTGGGTCAGAACCAATGGTACCATTTTGGGGTAGGTGCACCACCCATTTTAGTCTATTTTAGTGGGGATTGGGATGTTCACTGGGGGTACGGGATGTTGACCCATGGCCATACTGTCAGAAATTAGACGTCTTGCAGTTGAGCGGGGCCTTTCCCACCACTACTGGCACATTTGTAGAGGTTTGCTTGCTGGCCTTAAAGGCGCACCCGGAGAGAGAGAGAGAGAGAGAGAGAGAGAGAGAGAGAGAGAGAGAGAAGCAGAGACAGTCAGGCAAGCGCGCAAGCAGGCAAGGCAGGTAGGCAAGCAAGCAATTAAGCAAACAAACAAGTAAAACCAGCATCGAACTCAAACTGCGCACGTCAGCTCGCTTCAATTGGACCACAAATTGCCAACAACCAAAGACAATGGGCAGCCAAATCAAGCCAAGCAAGCACGAGCAGGGAGACAGGGGGAGACAAGTGGCCCAAATGGAGCGGCATGTGGGGAGACAGCGGGGGTATCAGTGCCAAACCATCGCTTAAAACCACACAGACATGTGAAACTGCGAAACCTTCCAGATAGCTGTACCGTCACTGTTTGTTGCGGCTCAGAATTCGTGCAGCTAGAGGTGCGGTGTCAATTCCGCACATCACTGAGTCACAGTGGTCTTTGGTGGTCCATGAGTGGAATTGCGTTCTCGCGGACTATGACACAAGCTTCAGTCTAGAAGTGCAGACAAAGGAATGAGTATGACAGAGTGCCACAATTCCTGCAAGGCTCCATCCCGAACTTGGATTTTCAATCACCGATGACACTTCGCACTCCAAGTGCCGGCAGTGTCAGCTCCTAGGTGGTCAGAAGTAGTCACAGCCATGGCAGATGCCTTCGATCCCTTCAGTGCCTGGACGGTCGAAGCCTAAGCTTACTTTTCTTGCTCGTGTGATAGGTAGGGAATGAGAGATTGATTCCAGGCTTTGGTCCCCAAGGAAACCATACAGTAAGGGATGGTTTACAGGGGGCATTCCATTTCTCATTCCTTGCCTATAGCACCAGCAAGCAAATCATGGGTGTGAGGGAACCATTTCATTGTAAGGGTCATTCCATTTCTCATTCCCTGCTTGTCGCAGCAAGATGCGAAGATGAAGGTTTCTGCACAAGCTTCAGGGACTTGTGTTTCTGCAACCGAGTCTTTTCATGATGCTTGGTGTCTGAAGTTGCATCGTCCTGTGAGATGGGACACTCTTGGGCCCTAGCGGCGGATTTGGCTGCCTCCAAATCTGACCAATTCTTGTGATCTCGAGTGACATACTGTGGGTGGACGAAATCCATGTCGCACCACCTAAGAAACCCAACAATGATTCGATTGCCCTGTAAATAGCAACAAACTTTATGGTTTCAGCCATGGTTTCAAAGTGATGCGAACGGATTTCGCAACCATCCACAGTATTGGAGTAAGTTTTGCTAGCCCCATCTCCGGAGCTGCCGCGGGCCGGAAACCAAATATTGGATGTTGAACTGGGCCCTTCTAGTAAAGGCGGTTGCCTGTTTGGCTTTGGGTTTGGTAGGTGTAACCCACTCACTCCCCAAGTTCGTGGTCTCTACTCGGAAACAACACGTTTGGATTTGTTTTGGCCATCTCAGGAAGTTTTGGGTGAGACCATTTCAGTGGCAAACCGAAAGTTTGGACCAGTCCACTCGATCGGAAGTGAGCCCAACCAAAACACAACTCCCATGAATCTTGTTGTGGATACCCTCCCACCCATTAACGTGGAACCTGACAGGGACACGTTTTTTCTGAGAAGAACATCGTCTAAACCAGGACCCCCTGCTCCTTTCCTGCGAGAAAAAATCGCGCGCGTTGGTTGCGGGTTTCGCAGGTCCACGAGCGGCGCCCGAATCGGAGGCGGTGGACACCAATGAGGTCTAGAACTCTGCATGTAGATGTATGGGTGATGGCCCCAACGGCCTTTGCATATATGTTTATTGGTATCTTACATTACACACATATACATATATATACATATATACTAACACATGTATTTGGGCAGTTTATCAGACCTGAAAAGAAGATGATAATTTCCAGACTCAAAGTGCAAATGATCACAAGTGACCAGGGAGTGGCAGAACATGGGTTGCATCGTTTCATGTCGAAGCTTTGGCCAGGAGCAGACAGGCAGTGCCAAGTCCCTGTAGTTGGAGCCAGATGTTTCTATGTTCCATTTTCAATCTGCTCGGAAGCTTTCACGACAGTTCTTTCGGCTTGCGGATTCGCAGGCTGCCACGGAAGTCCGGACTCGCCAAGCAGGGACCTCAAAGGAAAGAACCCTGCGAGTCGCGGAAGAGTGCGAGTTGCATTTCACGGCCGTTCGGAAAGCCGGACCTGGCGGGTCAATGAACTGAAAAGTGAAAATACTTGCTTGGCCTGTCCAGGTGTAGCTTGTTTCAGCCACTGCCAACATGCGGAGGTTGGGTAATGAAACACTGGGCTCCAGCTTAAATAAACAGGATCATGTTTGAACGGATGCTCTGCACTCCAGATGGATATTTGGCCCCCTTTTATAACACTGGTGATGTGAGAATGAAGTGAGATGAGAATCTACGGGGCTCACCCGAGAGCCCCATGTGGTATTTTCACATCAGCCCCACAATCCATTTTTCATTCCTCGGCTGTTGTTGGGAAGCATTTTACATTTTTGCTTATTGTGGTTTAGTGCTTGAACTCCAACCACTTAACTGCTAAGATTTGAGAATGCTTGCTCCCCTTTCAACGTGAACCAATAAATTTCCATGTATGGCACCAGGTTTTCCTTGTGCCCGCGTTGGAGCAGCGGCCCTTCCCTGCGCTCGCTTCGAAGAGGTCTGCTTCCACTTCTCTGCTGAGCCGGGCCGGGCCTCCGAGACCGAGAGAAAAACAGGTCGCAAGGAGCGAAGTCAGAGGTTGTCTCCCCCGAGTTCCCGGAGTTGATGCGGTTTGGGTTCGGGCATCTTTGTGGCAAACAAAGAAGGTTTTCTCGGACTTGTGCGGATCCATCCACTCAGGAAGTGAGTCCTCCGAACAGCAGTTGTTCGGTGTGTTCCGTGATCAAGCTGGTCGGGTTTTTCGCCTTCGCTCATGGCTGCCTAAGAGGTTGCAATGCTGAAAAGTCCATGCCCACGTAAAGATGTGGCACCCCGGTACAGACAAACCCACAACCCAAACCTCCTGACAAATCCAACATCTCTTGGTCCATTTGAGGCTCTCACACGCCTTGTGATCACCACTGGATGCAGCCATTTAGGCCCAAGGCACTCCGACTCGATCCCAAAGGACCATGTTCCGGCTCCTTACGACTTGCTTGGGAGCGGCCTCTGCACAGCAGGTGGGCACCCACGTGGACGAGTTCCATCCAGAGATGGCGCTGTGGACGTGCAACAGCGCTGGCTGCGACAAGGATTTCTTCCAGGGGCCTCTGTTGAGAACTCCTAGTCTACCAATTTTGCATATTCTGGTTCCCCAACTATAGACATGCCAACATCAGACGTCACCTTTTGGTCCTCGCGTCACTCTATTGAGTCTCCATTCAGTTTCAAGCATCGGTGACCCTTTCAGGAGATGAAGTCTGTGGTGTTGGACGCCAATTGGCGGTGGATCCACAATGGCCAGTACACCAACTGCTACAAGGACGGGGATTGGGATGCCACGTTGTGCCCTGATCCAGCGAGCTGTGCTGCAAATTGCCATGTGGAGGGCAACTCAGAGGAACAATACAAGAAGACATACGGCATCAATACCATCGACGATGGGCTCAGGTTGGACTTTGTGAGCACCACCAAGTATGGCTCGAACTTTGGTTCCCGCGTCTACATGTTGGAGAGCCCCAACATGTACCTTGGTGGCTCCCAGCCATCCCCTTAGCTTTTTAGCCTTTTTGCGTTTAGTGGTAGCTTTCATTGAAACCACTAAAAGTGAGTCACTTTTAGGGGGTCTGAAAACGGCCAGCCCAGGTACAAAGTCTTCAAGCTGAAGAACCGAGAGTTTACTCTGACAGTGGACATGTTCTACATGCCCTGCGGCCTGAACGGCGCCGTGTACTTTGTGGAGATGGATGCGGATGGCGGCATGAAGAATGCAGAGCTTTCTGGTGGCAACAACAAGGCAGGCGCCAAGTGCCTTGGCGGTTTTCAGTATGGGAGTTCGAAAAGGGCGGTGGACTTTTGTTCGAGTGGTCTAGGGTGGCCGCGTGCTTTTTACTGATCGTGAAAATTCGCAAAACAAAAGCCAGATGGCGCAAGGGCAAGCGCAGAAAGCAGCACCGAATAGAACGACCCGAATATCATGGTTCCTTGCACCTGCAGGCTTTTAGAGTTTCGAGATATGTTTGGCGTGTCCCACAAGGAAATTTAGATTTTGCAAGGGATGAATGAGCCAGGTACGGTACAGGATACTGCGACGCGCAGTGCCCTCACGACATGAAGTTCATGCAAGGCAAGGCCAACGTCAAGGGTTGGAATGCCAGCCACAACCCTCCCATCGGCAATTGGGGAGCCTGCTGCGCCGAGATGGACATTTGGGAAGCCAATAGCAAAGCCACTGCCTACACGCCCCATCCTTGCTCCATCACCGGCGTCCACGTTTGTGAGGGTAAGGACTGTGGTGGCATGACAATGACAAGGAGGAGCGCTACGACGGGGTTTGTGACAAGGATGGCTGCGACTTCAATTCTTGGCGTCTTGGGGTGAAAGACTTCTATGGCCGAGGTCGCGACTATGAGCTGAACAGCAGGAAGAAGATGACGGTAGTGACCCAGTTCATTACTGAGGGCAATAGGGATGATGGGGACCTCATTGACATCCGGCGCTTCTATGTGCAGGATGGGAAGGTCATCCCCAACTCCAACGTGTCCTTGGCGGGCGTGGCAGGCAACTCGGTCACCGACAAGGTCTGCGCCGACATGAAGTCCGCCTTCGGCGACATTGATGACTTCACTCGGAAGGGTGGCCTGAAGGCTATGGGCGAAGCTTTGGACCGCGGCATGGTTCTTGTGATGTCCCTCTGGGATGATGCGGAGGCCAACATGTTGTGGCTGGATTCTAGCTATCCCTTGGACAAAGACCCCTCAATCCCGGGCGTGAATCGTGGTCCATGCTCAACGGACACGGGCAAGCCCGAGTACCTCCGGGAGAAGTATGCGGACGCCAGGGTCAAGTACAGCAAGATCAAGATCGGGACAATCGGTTCGACCTTCTCTGGTCAAGATGAGGACGACGTTGATGATGGCATTTGGGATGACAATCGGAGACTGCAAGAACTCCACATCTGAGCCGTGCCTTTTCTTTTGACCGTTCGTCTGCCACGGCCTCTAGTATAGACCTCGGCAGATGAGCATGTTTCGCTGCAAGAATCTAGTTTTGACTTCTGGCATTGCCAGTACTGCATGCCCTAGAACATACAGTTGAATGCTGCATGGTGTTTTGACCGCTGGTCCCTGGCAAAAAAAAGCCAATGATCTAGTGCCACCGATCCATGATCCATCACATCAAGGTGATGGTACAGAGCTGGAGCTGATCTTGCTTTGTCTTTGACACTTGCAATTGCAGCTTCCCTGGGCCAAAAGCCCGCAGATTCGACATGGAGTGAGTGCGCGCGGGAAGGCGATGCGAGGTTTGCTGAGGAGTAGACCCAAAGCGGGCGTAGACTGATCATGGAGAGTGACCTGAGTCATGTTCACCGCTACTCAAATGGTGTTTTGCTGCCTTCAATGCAAAAGAAACCCAGAGAAACACACAGCATTCGCAATATCTTCATGGCTAGGGCCGGCAAGTGGAAATCATGTCTCCCCATTTTAAGACATCATTTGACTTGTGGAGTTTGTTTTGACCAAGCTGTGGATCAAATGACGGTTTCTTGGCGTCTCAAGAATTGGGATGCTGAAAGCCCGCCACCACACAGTCTCCGAGATCCCATAGCAATGGTGAACAGGAAAGTCGGAACTTCGCCAAGCTCCTGTGTTTGTTTTTTCTTGTTCAGAGTTTTTCGGATTCCTTCCCCGGTGTTGGTTGTTTGGATTGGCGCTTTGGATTTGGAGGTGAACTGATTCTTGAATCAGCGCATAGGAAGCCACCGGAACACCTAGCCAGCGATTCGGATCGAATCCACCACTGATTTGGGCGATCGGGTACCATCAGCAAGTGGTGAGTAAGCCTGGTTCTATCCCAGCAAAGCCATGCCAAGTCTCCTTTCCGCGGGATATAACCAGGCTTACTACCCCTCTTTTTTGTGGAGGTAAGCGGACATTTTTTGGATAGGGAAGCGTTTTTTTTTGCATAGGGAAGCTGACTTTTTGTCTGGGTCCAGCACACCCAGTCTTCCAAGCCACCGATTCGGCTCCAAACCACCACTGAAAAGGTCGATCGGGTACTTAGTAAGTAGTAAGCCTGACCCAGCAAAGCCATGGTAAGCCTCCTTTCCGTGCGGTACCAGGCGTACTAACCCCTTGGGCAGGGAAGGGGACTTTGGGGTTGGGACCCCCGACCTCACCGAGCTCCAAGCCACCGGAGAGGCCGACCGCTTCAGCTCCAGCGCAGGCGCGGCGCCCGGCGCCCGGCCCGCGGCGCCGGGGCTTTGGCGCAGCGAGGGTGACGTGTCCTGCTTAGGTCTGATTGAAAGCAAAAAAAATGGTTTCAGTTTGGTTCCCATATCGTTTCTTCACGGTTGCCCTGTGTTTAGGTCTTTGGGTTCTGTTGGTTCTGATCATTTTCATTAGGGGTTGCAAAAACACAGTGTTTTGCTTTCATACCAGGGGTTGGAAAGATTTGCAAGACCTAGGTATTTAACATACTTGGGCTGTCCACCAGACCTGGAAGTCCAGAACACTTTCCACGAGGAGAGTAGTTGTTCAGAGTGGCCTGACTTCCATGTTTGGTGGGAAGGCATGAGGTCATGGTTTGGCGCGTTTCGACTGTTTTTGACTTTTGCGAATTGTGCTGGGCACCTGTTCAGAACCAACAGGTTTGGCCTCTTGTTTGCTAATTTTGAGCCTGGCAGATACCGCATTTTCAGTGGAACCTCGTTTATCCCAATTCCGTGTGTAGGAAGCTTTACGATGACCCCTTTCCAAAACTTGGTCCCACTTACTGGATCTCATGGCCACACCTTGCGCACAGGGGCCGTGATGTTACTCGAGTTGCGCGCAGAGCCATCAAACGATGTGGATGTTGATGGCCTGACTGCAGACTTCCTGTTGCGCGGTTTGCTCTTGCCCTGACTTCGAGAAACAACACATCGGCCAACACTTTGGGGGGTTCCATGGCTTCCAGCGAAATGCTTTGCCATCGGCGCAGCATGTTGCCAGGTGAGAGCAACTGCTCCACGCCGTTGGCTGCTCAGGTAGATCGAGGCTTTCAAGGCAACAGGGCTTTCACCGTATGTTGTTCTTCCTGTGGAAATCCGCGAAGCAGAAGCATCATTGCATCTGACCAAGAGGGTGACCCTGTGATTTCGCGAGCAAGCAGTATGAATTGCAAAGTATTGAAGACAAGCTCATAGGCGTCGAATCAAGTTCAACTTGGTCTTGGCACTTGGACGGAACTTGGGCCAAAGACACCAGGGACAGGCAGAGGCACGGGGCGGGGGGCGGCTTCCTCAAACTTTTGGCCATGAATTTGAATAGCGAACCTCAAAAGTGGGTTCATATGAATCCACACCAAATTCTGATGTCCAGCAAGAAATCCTATTGACTTTTGTTTATACTTATACTTGGTCCCCCAGTAGTGCCCTTTTACCCCTTTTTGGGGGAGGGTTCCCCTACAACAAAAAACTGGTACCCTTATTCTAACCTCTCAAATCTGGAGGACCAAGTATATGTGTATACCTTTTCTACCCTAAACTAAAGTCCACATTTCTCAAGGTTTGGGTCGGGCACGGATCCAAGGCTTCCACAAAGCGATGGAGGCTATGCCTCCTTCAAGGCGCTTCGAAGAGACGTCTCGAGCCGGGCTACGAGTTTTTTTTGTTTTTCTCGGATTTGGGAGGCTGCTTCTCCGTATTTCTCGTTGAAAATTTACCTGAAAGTGGCAGCCTCAAAGGGGCCCATATACATACATGCCTAGAAGTTTTGAGTTGTTTGTATTTGGCAGCTTTCTGACCTCTGTCCAGCATTCCGAGTCGTGGATTCCCTATGCCCGAGGGTTTCATTGTTTCCTGGAGATAGATTCAATTGAGAACTCACGACTCGAGGCATTTGCGGATCCGGCCATGAGTTCACTGCACGAGCTGTATTGCCGGGACCATTGGGATTGGGAGTCGCGTGGGGTCCAGTGGAAACATGTCTGAACATGTCACGGCTATGGGCTACTTGCATTGAAATTTGATTAACTTGTTGTACGCTCCTGTGTGTAGCACGGGTCATATCCGTGTGAATCGCATAATGGAGGGAGAGGTTGCCCATGTCAACAAGCAGCAACAAAAGGAAACCTCAGCGACGGCAGGCAATATCGCAGCAATCCAAACAACAACAGGCGGAGAAGACCTGACTGTTCTCGCAAGCTTGAAAGATGAGCACACAAGCTGGTTGTTGCTTGCTCGGCAGCATCTTGCAGAGCTTACAAACACCCTCCTTCGCTCTCGGGCCGTTTCTTGGGCCGTTTCTCGTGCATGTCGCGGGTTTGCGGTTCAAAACTTGACTGCTATTGGGTTGGATCTTTAGACTTTAACTTTTTGGGAAATCAAGGGGTTCTCCACTAAACCCCCAACAGGTTAAACTTTTGCAGGGAGGTCAACAGCAACCAAGAAAAAAAGGCCAGACTCCAGTCGTCCGGCCACAAGCTCTGGAGATTGGCGCGCGCTTTGTGTTTCTTCGCCGTCGGGCTGCGCATTTGCGGCAGGCGCGTTTCCTGAAGGAGTACCAGCAGCAGCAGCGCATGCAGAGCTCGGGCCCAGGTAGGATTGATCCCGGCAAGCTTCTGCAGACTCCGAGCAGGCAAATCCTGGATAAGCGAAGGATAGGGGACAGTCCCAGCGTCCCAGCCAGAATTGGGGTGCTACCAGCCTTTCGACACAATTGTTGGCTTTGGCTGCACCTTTAGCAAATGTTGCCCTTTTTCGCCCATATTCAGTGGCTCAATGGTCTGCTTTCTTTTATTTGGCTTCTTTTTTTTTACCAGCCTTTAAAAGCCAAAAACAAAGTAACTGGTTACCTACTATATGGCTGTGGTTGTCAAAACCAATGGGATCCCATTTTGGTTGGTAGGTGAATTCACCACCCGTGTTTCGAACCTATTTTAGTGGTTGGATTGAATCGGATGTTCACTGGGGGCTAACCGGGCTATGGCTTTTGACCCATCGCATGGCTTTGCTTGGGATCCACTGGGCAGTGAGGCATGGCAGTGAGTCGGCGCCAGCGGAAAGTGGCGGAGACGCTGCAGGACTGGAGTTGATTTTTGACAGCATGTGGCGGTGGTTGTCAAAACCGTTTTGGGTTCCCATTTTTGGGGCAGGTGAATTCACCACCCATTTTAGAACCTATTGTATTGGGGGTTGGGATGTTCACTGGGGGCATGGGGTCAAAACCCATAGCCATGTCAGCAATGGTCCAATGTCACCGTCACCTCCCACTTCTGAGTTCCGTTTCGGGCTTGAGTCACGGTTAATGGCAAACAGAAAGTTCGAACTTTTGCTGGCCACTCAGGAAGTGAGTACTGTAGTGATGCGAAGGCGAAAGACATTAGATGGACAATGACAAATGACCAAATTGCCGCGAAATGTGGGTGCCAAAATCCAAAATCCAATGTCATTGAGGCACAATAAAACTTAACCCACCATCACGTGTCGCTTTCTTAGGGTGCACATCTTTGCTCATGATCCAGTTGATCAGCGTTTGGCTCTCGTACCTCGCGCTGGGGCTTGCCCTGTTGGCATTTAGCCTATGAACCATGCGGCTGAATAATTTCAAGCGCTGAATGAAAGCCAGAGCTTCTGGAACTGCAATCATTTTCGGCGGTTCCCAAATTAATATCATTGCAGGTGACATTTGATGGCGTTTTGCCTCCTTTTTTTTGGACTTGCCCATGCCGGGCTTTGAAGGGGGCCTCAGTCTAGCTTATGTTTCGTCAGCTGATTGGTCAGCTCTTTGGTGCCAATTCAAAACCACACGTCTATGGTCCACATAATCTCTTGTTGCCAGTGTGGCTGGGATCAGCGACTGCCGCGCCTAAGTCATGTTAGGGCCTAGTTTCTCCTTGGGCGATTGCCCGCGTAGAATTGCCACATGTTCCAATTTCAAGATGTCCAAAATGTACTAGTACACACTTCCACTTGCACAGATGCACCTGCGGTTCAAACATATACCCCCTCTCACAGGGGGTCCTTTCAACAGGAAAATGATCGTGGCAGTAAGGGTAGAAGCAATCTGCACCAGGGAACAGCCGCTCCAGTCTCAGGATTCTCGGGACCTCTTTCTTTACCCCGACTCGCGGCTCGCTGCAGCCGCAGCTGCGGAAGCAGAGGAGCACTGAGTTGATTCGCGTCAGTTTAAACGTTTGTTTGTTTGTTTGTTTGTTTGTTTGTTGGTTGGTTGGTTTGTTTGTTGGCTTGTTGGTCTGTCGGTTTGTTGGTTTGCTTGTTTGTTTGTTTGTTTGTTTGTGTGTGTGCGTGTATCATAACGCATGTGTTAGCACGAGGCCCGACATGAAGTCATGTCTGTGCGTGGCAGGTGTCTTGTGTAAGAATCGTGGTGAATCAAACGTGGGAGAAATGCCAGTGTAGCTATTGAATCGTATGGGTCGTGCCTCTGCTTTAAGTCTTCATCACTCACCAGAGCTACGAATGCGTGCTAGACGACCTACAGCCGTGCACACAGTGTGTCACTGATCGATCTTGGCTGCGACCCTCGCTCGCCTCTCAAAGCAAGTCTCAAAGCACCGGAGGTTGAAAACAAGTTCAGAAACTCGCTTCCGATGTTTTTTTTACCGCTGCTGTTTCCCTCTTTGCGCACGCTGTGGGCACCGAGCAAGTAGCATCCTGTTAAGACGAAACAAAGCGACTGGCACAGAGGTCAACATAACATATCGCAAGGCTTCAAAAAATCCGACGAGCGGCTGCCACACCAAGGGAAGTATAGATCTAGTGCTCACCGTTCTTTCTGGAGCTTGGTTTGGTGGCGGTGCTTGACGATTTCTTATGGATCTTGAAGTGCCTCAATTTGTTCGCGTTGGCGTTGCAAGTGCGCAGCTCAAAAAACTCTCGCCAAAAGCGTAGGAGTACGGCAGGTTTGGTCACAGTTGGGTTAAACCGCTGACATCCGCTGACGGAATGGGGCAACAATAGCAGCTGTCCTGGGCCTCGCCAGATTTCACTTAAGCAAAAATGGTCGGTACATGTGGAATATCATGCAGTAGGCACGGCCAATTCAAACCTGCTCGAGTCTCTCGAGCTAGCGTAAATTGGCACGCACTGATGTGGTAATGTGTGTGTGTGTGAGAGACTGCCTGCGCGAGTGACTCCAAAGGCAGCTGGCCCCTAAATTAGGTTGGTTTTCCTTTCTCTTTGAAAAGCCTCGAGTGCGTCTTAAAATTAGTGACCCCAAAACTGGATAGTTTCCCTTTGTTTCCCTTTGAAAACCGACCGAAGGGGGCCCCCAAAAAAAGACGAGCCACCCATAGCCTTCGAAACTATCGCCAGGAGCTTGCCCGGCTTTTCCGCACCCCAAAAGAGCAGAGAGCCAGCCGGGGGCCTCGAGTGCAAAAAACATCGCGGCGGTTGACTTTGTCTTGCTGGTGCGAAAGCGGGGAATGAGAAATGGAATGATTTCAGAGGTCCCCTGAAAGCAAACCACAAGTGATGATTTATAGAGCTCATTCCCACATTCCCTACTGAGCAGAAGCAAGTTGTTGAAAGAACCAGATTCGGTGGTCGCCTCAGTTGAGTAACTTTCGATAAGGGACGGTGGGCACAAAGCATACTGCAAGGGAACAAGCTGGAAACCCAACGCAGATTCAACTTCCTGGAGTCTCCATGACCCTTTAAAAATGGGTCCATGACCCCTTTATTTTGGGTAATGACCCCATTTTTAAAGGGTCATGGAGACTCCAGGTTCATGAATATATGGTTGGTTTACTTCAGTTTAGTTGCGCAAAGGATTTGGCCGGATTCAAGGGCCTTGGCCTCAGAAACCCAACTGCCAAACAAGGATTCGCGACATCGCCACCTTTGTGGTTGGGTGTGCGCGAAACATGTGTGTCCTTGGAAGGTCCCGTTTTAGTCGGTGGACTGAATAAGGCAAAGGGAAGCCCCACTTCGAGGGGTCGATTTGTGTTACACCCATTTCACAAGCTTTGTTCTGCTCCTGTTCTTCAGGAAATGAATCACCCCCGCCAAGGCCCCCCCCCCGAAAAAAGTTAAGGGAGCTTGAGCTTTTTCTGGATCTCCGACTTCTCCCCGAACTCCCTTGAAAGGGCTACACACCTCCCCCCGAAGGCTGCTCCAGCCTAGCAGCCCCGAAGGCTGCTCCAGCCTAGCACAGCCGCGGGCACTACCAGAAGCGGAGCTTCCTCAGGCGCCCCTTAGACCGGCGTCGAAAAAGATTGCAGGAGCCGTGATGGCGTTGGTTCCTGTTGGGGTGGTTCCGTTTTTTCGAGTTGGTTTCCCATGATTTGTTGATGTTAAACCAAAAGCAAAGGGAACACATGTTTTATTTGTATTTGTTTGGGGGGGTCCCCATTTGTTAGTTTGCAGATCAGTTTGCTTCCCTCCAAAAGCCGGTTCTGAGTTTGGAGCGTGGCCAACACGGGGGGTGACTACTGCGTGACTGGAAGCTGTCAGCATGGAAAAGCCGGGTCTAAGCATCAGTCAATTGAAAGCTGGAATGAGGAATGGAAATGGGTGTTTCCAAATTAGGGAACGTTTTCTTGGAAAAAATAAATCGGGAACTCCTGTTTTGAACATCCTGAAATGAAGTGACGTGTGATGGCTCAACATGATCCCACAGTCCATTCAGACGGCTTTCGAACTAAGAGTCTGCAAACCAGTGTATTCTTGCAGAGTTACTTGGCAAAACGCGAGAATATTTCCATTTGGAAGCCCGTTTGCTGCCTTTGAATCCCTTCTCCAAAAGGTTTTGCTTGGGCCCGTTTCCACCCCGCTTCTGTGTAAAAAGCCAAGAGGGAGCATGTGGCGGTCTCAAAGCCCACGCTGGGTTCCACTGGTTTAGATGGGGGTTATGCCGCCAGATAAACCCATGTATTTTTCTAAAAGATAACCTATTGTAAGCATACATACCATATATGCACCATGTAGCGTATATGGTAAGTATGTGATTGGCGGGCATACACCATCGGGATCCACCCTGTTGCCAGTCACTTCGCGCAGGAACCCCAGAGCATCCCTCGCTCCTGGGCAGAGCCGTGCTGGCATGATCGGCCTGGGAGGTGTGTGTTTTTGAGGGAACCCCGTTTCTGTTTTGTTTTGTGGGTGCTCAGGGGAGCCAAACAGAAATCAACCATTTTCGGTGTCCACCTATCAAAAGACACGCCCAAATACGTGTTTGCCGCGGCAGACGCAAGGTCTTGCGGTGCACCTCGTGCCACTCGAAGCAAAATGGGGGGGGACCCCCAAAATGGTGGTTGTCCTTTAGGTGTTCCTTTACTTCACTGTTGTTGGCAAGTGAAGGTTTTTGATGTTTTGTTCTGTTCATTTTTGCTAGGCTACCTACCATAGCAATGGTTGTAAAGTTTAAATGAAACTGAAAGGGGTACTGTTCTGAGGATGTGTAAGGGAGCCTTCTTGGTAGGTGGACAGCCATTGGAAGAAACTTCTGGGGGCTCGATGGTTAAAGATGCAGGCGAGGGTTTGTCCAAGGGAACTATCTTCTGATCTATCACGAGTCTGCCAGCAATGAGCATGCTGGAAGGAAGTGTGGGATCTTATTGGGCTTTTGTTGTGGGGACACGTTGGGTGCATCTTCATGAACACTTCAGCAGCACATTACTGCGCTCTGACCGTTTGTTCGTCAAGCAAATCACCCGTGCACCAACTCCGAGCTTTCCACACAGACACACACTTCTGAAGTTCATTTGGGCGTGGTTGTCAAACATAGGGGAACCCCAAACTGGCTTGCCCTGTTAACAAAGGAAAACAATGGTTCAAGGACATTCGAACCTAATGGTCCTCCTGGTGAATTGAAATCCTGCGGTCCAATATTTTTTGTTGGCCCATACCCATTTTGGGCGTTGCAAGGCCCAAGGCACCAGAGAGCCTTTTTCATGAGGTCCGGTGACTGAAAGGGACCCATATCAAAACTAGGTCCCCCAGTAGTGCCCTTGTTACCGTTTCTTTTTTGGTTGGGAGGGTCCCCCTACTAAAATAGACTACAGAGGAAAAATGGGTACCCTAAACCCTACCCTCTCTACTGGACCTAGCAAAGCATGCCCAACTCCGTGGCCTGAAAAGCGGAAGAAGTCCTGAAATTATAGCCATTTGCAATCTGCACATTACCCCGTAGTTGATTTGCTCGGGCAATATCTCATTTCAAATCAAGCCTAGAATCTACTTCACCCTGGTGTTACAAACCCAGAGACTAGTGCTTTAATGACATTTGGCGTGTCTTTGGTTGAGGGTCCTTTTTTTTGTGGGTACAATAGGAGAGCCAAAAGGATCACCACCGCAAGTTGGGGCTCCGATTCCTTAAAACAAAAACAGCCCCCCCCCCCATTTTTGGAGGAACACTCGGCCATGTGGCTGTGGGTCAAAACCAATGGGATCCCGTTTTGGGGTTGGTGCACCACCTGTTTTCGTCTATTCCAGTGGGGATGGGGTTACGATTTGGATGTTGACCCATGGCCATGTGGCTGTGGCTCAAAAAACCGCTACCAAAATGATACCCTGGCAAGTGGAAACATGGACCAAAACCCGCGGTTTGCCCCTCCAGTTTATTTTTGAGCCACAGCCATGTGCCGCTTCGAGCCAGGCAGCAGGCGTATCTGCGTGAGCTGGCGGAGCCAAGGCAGCCCGAGCTGGAGCTTCTGCCGGAGCGGAGGCGGGGACGGTCTCCCGGACTCCCTGTGTGTGGTGTTTTCTTTAAGGGAATGCCTAGGTTCTGGGTCGTTTCCCGAGAATCAGCAAGTGAAGTGAGTATTTCTACTGGTTGATTCCTTCCCCATTCTTTTCAACCATCGTTCTTTTCCAAAACCGGATCCGTTTCCCCTGGGTTTTTAAAGAAGGATCCCTGGAAAGAATTGGGATGGTACCCCTGGAGACATGGGTGGAATCGGACGACCCAACAATTTGAAGCTACCCACTAGGACCACGCCCAAAGTTTTTGAAGGTCCCTTTCTGGAGTGGCTTTTGAAGGCAAACATGGCAAACCAAGAGTACAACCCGCCATGTTGGGGTCCTCCGCCGACAAAAGACATGGGCTGCATGGGTTTGCAGACCCAAGAAATGTTGATCTGTATGGCGACCTGGAGTGAAAAGGAGCTCTTCCCTGCAATGACAAAGGTCGTTTACTCGGAAATCCCTTCTTGCCGGTTTTGGATACTTGCGGATTGGACAGTTTGGCACAGCCAAAATAAGCTTGTTCTGTTTGAGCTTCTTGTCATCCAACCCGCTCCTTTGCCCATGTGCCACGATCAAGGTATTGCTGGTGAGGGATCGATCACGATCATTATTTTGGGTTTTCTGTAGAAAGTCCGATGGAAAACAACAGATGAGCGAAGCTGACAGCAGAATTAAAGACACGTGAACGCACTTTGTATCGAGGGAACCTGGCGGCCTCGGAGTGGTCGCGGGGTACTCGCCAGAAAATCCCAAAGACCTTCCATCGGGTTTTCAGAGTATGGCTTATTTTCTGCTGGTTTCAAGGGGACGAATTTTCCGCTGGACATATTTTCTCACTTTTCTCCAGGGGACGAACCGCAAATGGAGGTTCGACGCTGGCCACGGTCAAATCACGTGAGGTCTTTTCTTGGTGCGAGAGATGCAGGGAATAAACAGTTAGGATGACCGCGAGAAAACCCATCCAACTGGTGGCTTCCTTTTTTCGGGGACCAAAGCCTGGGTTGATTCCCAACACCCGGAATGGTCATTGCCTACCTATCGGAGCAGCAAGTTTTGTTGGATCCTTTTTGAAAACCAACCCTTTTCTTTAAGGGACAAAACATGGAATGACGATTTATTGGATACACGATTATTCGATACTAATTTTCATGAAAGATACCCCTGAAGAAGAACCATCCAACTGGTGATTTTCTTTGCTAGGTCCCCCAGCTAGGTGCCCTTTTTCCCTTTCTTGGGGGAGGGTTTGGGACCCTACTAAAACAGACTACGGGTACCTTTTGAAAAAGGGTGCCCCTACCAAAATAGACAAAAAAGGAAAGGGTGCCCCTACCAAAATAGACAACACACAAAAAAGGTTGGTACCCTAAACCCTACGCTCTCCAATCTGGACCCAATTTTTCAGCTTAGGCCACAGACCGCGAGGTGTGACCGAAGCTTGGCGGAGCAGCAGCGGCGCTGCGCCGAGCTGGCGCAGCCCCGAATTCAACGAGGCCAGGCCGCCCCCCGCAGCGAAGCCCCGAAGCGAAGCCCCGCTTCGTGAAACACGAAGTGGAGATGTGCTTGAAAAAATAAAATCACGGCGTCAAGGTTATTCACCCAAAAAACCGTTGCCTGTCGATGTTCTTTTCTGTTTCTTTTCTTTTTAACCTTTTTTTCTGTCGCAGGTGGGTTCAAGACTTGTTTCGCTGGTCCCGCTGACGGAAGGCCCTTTCACAACACGAGCGCTTTGTTGGCTGGAACCCACTTGGAGGCGACAGGGTGATGCTCCTCGATCAAGAACACTGACGCTTTTGAACTTGGGATCCAGAGGAGATGATTGAGTGGCAAGTGCACTGAGCTGGGACCACGTTGCAAACGGTTGGCAAGCCACCCAGTTGAAGGGAGGGTCCGCGTAGAAGTGGCTAGCAACTTTTCATTTATTGTTCCTGCTTGTTTGGCTTTTTAGAAGTGCATATTATCTTGCGTTCAACGGCTCTTTGGGCGGGTTGAAAAGACGTGTATGGCATCTGCAACATACCGCGCGGTAAACAAATGGCTGAGGCCGAAGCCGCTCCAATTCAGATGCTGTTCTACTTTCCCAGTGGGAGACTCCACTCACTTGAAGCACAACTCCCGTTGCCAGCCGCATATCCTTTGCCACCAAGGCTGTCTCGGATTCCGAACCGTTTCGTGGGGCCATAATCCTCAAGCAAATCGAAGGGATCGATGCCAGTTTCTGTGGCCCAGGCACCGACGACGTGGCGGCATGGCGGGTGGACCCGGCCGATTTTCTGGCAGAAACGCCGCCGCGCCATGACTCCAATTTGCTTCTCTCGGAAAGACAGACTCGGGATGGGTCAGAAGTCCAAAGCCGATTGTTGATGGACAGAAATCCAGCACTCGGAATCCCTGGGACACCCTACGTACTGTTTATTGGTTACATGGGAATGGCGCGCAATGGATTTCCAAGCCACCCACATTGCTTTTACAAAAACCGAGCGCACCGAGTGCACCGCGCATGCGACCCGCCTCAGCGCCGGCTTCCGTGCCAGGATGAGCTGGCATTCAAGGCTGCTGCTTTGGTGCCCGAAGAAGTGCAGGCAGATGTGACGCGGTTGGGCGGTTTGTTCTCTTTGGGTCTGTCTTTTTGAGGGGACCCCCCATGAGCCCCCTTTGTTTGGTGGTTGGAAAGGGAAACCACTGGGTTGCAATGGACAACTGTCATTTTGGGGTTGTGCAAAAGTGATTGCAGACATTGGCAAGTGATTGAAACATGATTGAACCGAGGATGCGCATTGATTGAGCCGTAGTGTTTGAGGTTTGCTGAAGTCGCTACTTCCTGCGAGTATTGATTTGACTGGAGTTTGAGTTGAGTGGTATACTGAAGGATGCACGTCCGACAACTACCAGTTAAGTCGTTGTTTCTCTTCAATCACATGTCCAGGGGGGTCACAAAATGCCGGTGTTCCTTTTGTCTTCCCTTTAAAACCACAACAAAAAGGGCATTTAACCCAAACATGCCGGCGTTTAACCCCAAAAATGCCGGCGTTCCTTTTGTATCTTTTGTTTTCCCCGTAAAACCACGACAAAAAGGGGCGTTTAACCCAAACATGCCGGCGTTTAACCCAAAAAATGCCGGCGTTCCTTTTGGTATCCCCGTAAAACCACGACAACATGGGGCGGTTAACCCAAAATGCCGGCGTTTAACCCAACAAATGCCGGCGTTCCTTTTGTTTTCCCCGTAAAACCACGACAAAAAGGGGCGTTGAACCCAAATATGCCGGCGTTTAACCCCAAAAATGCCGGCGTTCCTTTTGTTTTCCCCGTAAAACCACGACAAAAAGGGGCGTTTAACCCAACAAATGCCGGCGTTTAACCCACAAAATGCCGGCGTTCCTTTTGGTTTCCCCGTAAAACCACGACAAACAGGGGCGTTTAACCCAAACATGCCGGCGTTTAACCCCAAAAATGCCGGCGTTCCTTTTGTTTTCCCCGTAAAACCACGACAAAAAGGGGCGAATAACCCCAAAAATGCCGGCGTTCCTTTAGTTTTCCCTTTAAAAACCACGACAAAGAGGGCGCCCTGCCAAAAAGACGAGCCCCCCGCACGCTGCTTTGTTTGGGCGTCGGCATGCGTCTGGCGCCACTTTGGCCCAGGCGGCCCGGGATCTCCTGGAGAAGATGCGCTGCCGCCCGCGCTCGGCGAAGAAGGTCCGCGAGGCCCCGCGAGACGCACGAAGCGAAGGAACCCAGCCTGAGCCGTGTGACAGGGCGTTCTTTGAGCTTGCTACTTCACAAGCCTGGTCATGTTCTGCCGCCATGTGATTCAGGATCAGAGAGTTTCGCCATCAGATTAGATCCAACACGCCCTATTCTTCAGGCCCTGCTTTTGATGCTTGATAATAGTCTTTGGTGATTGCTGGACATATAGCTTCATTATTCGCCACGGGCGATGACAGATGAAAGGACTGCTTGAGGTCGACATGCGCATTTCACCGTGTTGACGCTTCCGTCGGGTTGAGATTTGGTTTGCCGGAGCCGGCGCAGCTTGTGTTCCCCATCAAATCGATGCAATGCTGTGTGCGTGGCAATGCAGAGATGGGTTTTAGCCCTGAAACCAGCTGGAAGCCACTGGGAAGGGTCCAGCTTTTGACACGTGTGCTCGCCTTTGAGAGTCTCGCTTTGTCAGAGAAAAGCACGGAACCCAGAAAAAAACCGCCATGCTCAGAGAAATCTCCTTTCGGGGTCTCCTTTTCGCGGGACCCCTTGTTGCTGTTCCAAGCGTGTTCATTTTGTCCGACTATTTTCCCCCAGACTAGCATGGAAGCTCCCATGACCCCTTCGGAGGACTTGGTTCAATTTGCAGAGGCCTTCTGGGAGCTTCCATGTTAGTCTGAGGGAGTGTACTTGTTTTATTCTTTTGGTCGCAGGTAGGTCCTTGTAGCTGCGCCAGGCCAAAGCGCCCGCCCCGGAGGTCCCGGCCTCAGTGACAAGAAGAACTCCCAATTTAGGAAGCCTGAGATGGGTATGGGTCAAAGTTTCAGAGCCAGGGGGGCCTGCCAGGGCTCCATCTTGGGTACCTATTTTTGAGCCACCATGTAAGAAGAGGTTTTCCCTTAAAATCAAGTTGCCAGGCCAAGCTTCCAGTTTCATTCGCCAAAGCCACTGGCTTGGGGGATCGGCTGACTTCCTTTGTTGCCTCGTCTCAGAGCAGTACCTGACTTGGGATGACCAGAGGGGCAGGGCCAAGAGATCACAGGCAGACAAGAAGTGGCAGCAGCATTTGCTTTGTTCCCTGATAGGACCGCACCGGGAAGGGTACCCAAACGTGCAGGGGAGAATCTCGTGACTGAATTTCACCCAGCAAAAAATTGAAAGAAACTGCCCCTTCACTCGCCAGAAGATAAGAAGTTTTGCACATAGCTCCTTTGAGTTCGAGTCATTCATCCCATACCACGCTGCTTTGACGTGGTGAAAGCTGAGAACCCATGATTTGGCACAAGTCACGCATGCCATGTCGATGTCTTTTGCTCCCCATGGGGTGCCCTAGGGGGGGGGGTTGCCCAGAGGGTTGCTCTAAGCTTGGTGGCCCCCAGCCATCCGGTTCCTTAGCTGTTTATAGCTTTTTAGTGTTTAGTGGTGGTTCCGAATTTAACCCACTAAAAGTTCGTCACTTTTAGCGGGGGATCTGAAAACCAGCAGCCCAGTAAAGCAGAGCTTTCCATGTCCATCGGAGCACGTGTCCAGCGGGCTAAAGGTGGAGGAGCAGCTGAAGGAGCTGAAGGCGGCGGTGGAGGAAATCCTCTGGGTGGCCTTGCTGCAGGCCGAATCATCCACCCACCGCGGCGCGCGGCGGGGGGGAGGTTCTCTGGCCCATTGGACCAAATATCCGGCCGAATCATCCACCAAGGGGGGGGTGGGGGGCGTCTGTGGCCCTGACTTGGGATGAACACCCTCGTTGTCGGCGCCATTTCGGCACCGATGTTCCAGCTGTTTGTTGCTCGACAAAAAATTGCCATGATGGCTCGAACTGCCGCGTCCCTCTTTTGCTGACCGAAGTTCACTCGTTTGCCCTTGTCTACCCTGGTTTTGTCGTGCTGAACGCGGAACAGGATACGGGGTGAACTTGTTTTTGACAGCTGCCCTGGCACACACATGAGATGTCGTCCTCCTGCTTCACTTTCGTTATGTTGGCTCCTGCCAGCCTGCAGGCTGGCAGCACATCAGTTTGGGTGTGTGCGTTTTGACGGCTCCCTTTACAGGGGAATGGGTGTTGTTTTTTGCTTACTTTTGCCCGGTTGGTTGGTTGGTTGGTTGGTTGGTTGGTTGGCTGGTTGGCTGGTTGGTTGGTTGGTTGGTTGGTTCTCGGCAGTTCGGCCTTCGGAACCGATTTCTGGATGGGGCATTAGTCACTCCATTGCCTGGTCCCCCGAAAGAGCAGCACACAAAGCCCACTCTGTTTTGGACTTCGGGACCGACTTCTGGAGAATAAAAGGCACGAGAAATTAAAGCCACCAAAATTATCATCATTTGACATGCTGGGCCGCCAGTTCGCGCGGGGGGTGTCTCTCTTTTGCTGTATGTTTGGCATTCACAAGTCTATTCTTAGCCATGAACTCCCGCTAGTACTGGCTGAAGCCGTGTGCCTAGACACTGTTCCGCTACAGCAATAGTACAACAGTGTCTAGGCACGAGGCTTCAGCCAGTACCAGCGGGTGCACATGAACATTTATCGTGCCTTTTATTCTCCAGAAGTCGGTCCCGAAGTCCAAAACAGAGTGGGCTTTGTGTGCTGCTCTTTCGGGGGGCCAGGCAATGGAGTGGCTAATGCCCCATCCAGAAATCGGTTCCGAAGGCCGAAATGCCGAGAACTGGTTGCACTCTTTCTGTCCAGAGCTTGTCCCAACCAAGTAGCTCCGCAAAATGAAACTGAGCCCCAGAACGGAGACAGGGTTAAGCAAAAGACAGGGTTAAGCAAACCAAAACACCGCACCCCCTTTACAGGTTGTTTTTGTTGGGGAAACCCAAAGGAAAGCAACTCCATTTTGAGCGCCCCCTATTTTGCTGTTAGACATATGGGGGGTTCATCGAAAGGTCCGGTAAACATGGGATGACCATTTCGTTGGCAAACCACATAAAGAGATGATATGTCCACCACACGGGAAAAGTGACCCAGGGTCAAAACTGGGGGCCCGCGCCACGGAAGAGGGATCAACCCCCTTTCAGCAAATTGAGGGAATGACCCCTATTACTAACTATGAACACATGTCCCTGTAAAACCAACGAGGGCAACTGTGGATGGACGAATTCCTGCACCACTTTAAAACCATGGGAAAGCAGAGTTTGTTGGTGTTTCGGGAATCATCAATGTATGGTTTCTCAGGTGATGCGAAATGGATTTCGTCCATCCACAGTATTCACATACATGACCCTAAAATGATGATTCCCCATACCAACGAAGAATGGCTTCCACCATGGTTTAGTGATGCGAAGGGGATTTTGTCCATCCGCAGTATGTCCCTGTAAAAAGCCAGCGAGGGCAAAGAAGCATATATCTTTGTTAGACATGTTCACCTACTTCTGGTTTCCCTGAAAAAAGACCCCCCAAAAAGACATGTATCCTCCAAAACTGACTCTATTTCCCTTCCTGGAGTTTAGTTATTTCATTCATTTTGCATGCAGAGGTGCGCAGTTGCCCAAAGCCGCAGACCGCCGCAGCCGCAGGCGGGCGCTTTTTTCCCTTTTGTTGGCACGGGCTGGAGGTGAGCCGATGCGCAGCAGCTACTCAAGTGAGTCAGCTTCCGTTTGCGAAGGAATGATAGGTTTTGTGTTCCCCTCGTGGATTTGACAGGAATCTATCACGTCTGGAATATTGTGATTTTTCCAGCGGGCTGCAGCGAATAGATTTGCTTAAGAATGGGCCAAGGTTGAAGGCTGGGAATCAAACCTGCATTTGCTGAAAGGCATAGTTGTTTTTGACTTTCCCCGGTTGGTTTTAAGGGGAATCGATTTCACTACTGGAAGTATGGTTTTTGGTTCCAGGTGCCTAAAACGCAAATGGAAGTGAGGGAATTGACATTGAGACTTGGCAATGTGCCACCAAGAAACAGAGGCACAGTTCAATATGATTGTGGAATGCAATAAATGAGAACCATGGCTCATCCGGCTCCATTTAAGTGGAAACCCGGGATGAGCACACGTTCCTGGGTTGCAGAATCCACGGTGTTTGTGCTACATATTTGATCAGATGCGGCTATGATAGAGAGAGAGAGAGAGAGAGCGGAAGGCTTATGGAGCCAACGTCTTGGCCGCCAACCCGTGGTACATACTGTGGTTTGCATTTAACCCGCTAAAAGCTAAACTTTTAGCAGGGGATCGGAGGGCAGCCAAGATACACAAGCATCGAACGCATGGTGCTTTTCTGCACAGCGAGAGGGGTGCCTCTTTCATTGTCGACGCCACATGCAATCTCCAGGCGTGCGAGCAAACAAAGTAACAGGCAAAGCACGCAAATGAGCAAGCAAGCGAGCAACTGGCTAGACCAACAAACATAAGGAGAAGCAAAGATGCAAACAATGAATTTTGTCTTTCAGTCGTTTGGCTCTTAGGTTTGTTGGTCGAAGCACATGTCGTGTGCTGAAGTGGCTAAAGTCATGCAAAGTCTGCTTGGGTGAATTTTGCCACGGGAAGTCCTGTGCCTTGAACTGGGAGGGTTTCCAAGGCAGGATGCTTGCCAGCAAGCACCTCTCCCATTTGACCTGCCACTCACGCGGCTCAACACATTCACTGCAGCCAGTTTGGGGTTTTAAGCCAAGTACTGCCTCGATACTCGCAAATCACACACCTAGGGCGAGCGATAAGAGCACGTGGCGTCCTCTGTTTGTTGTTTGGTGGGTGCTATGGACCCCAAAGGGTCCCTTGGGCCACGGAGAAAGAAACTGGGAAGCCCCGCTAGTGTCCATCAGGTTGTGCGCTTTTCCCTTTTTTGCACGGGCTGGAGGTGAGCCGATGCGCAGCAGCTACTCAAGTGGGTCAGCTTCCGTTTGCGAAAGAATGATAGGTTTTGTGTTCCCCTCGTGGATTTAACAGGAATCTATCACGTCTGGAATATTGTGATTGTTCCAGCGGGCTGCAGCGAATAGATTTGCTTGAGAATGGGCCAAGGTTGAAGGCTGGGAATCAAACCTGCATTTGCTGAAAGGAATAGTTGTTTTTGATTTTCCCCGGTTGGTTTTAAGGGGAAGGCAGTATGTATATGAGACATATATATATATGCATAATGTGCATGTATATATACATATACATATATATGCCTATATGCCTACGTAAGTATACATACATATATATATATATACACATAAATACAAGGACCCATTTATATATATATATATATATGCATGTATCTCTATACATATATATATATATATGCATGTATCTATATACATAAATAAATATATATATATATATGTTCCAGTCCCCAGGCCGCCAACTGTCCCAGACTCGCACCCCTTTCAGCGTGAACCCGCACCAGCACTCTCGCAACATCCTACACTAAACCAACCCACCCTCCACCCCCTACCTTAACCCCAACCCTAACCCGAAATCAACCCGAACCCCAAACCCACCCTAAACCCACCGTAAACCAACCGTAAACCAACCCTAAACCAACCCTAAACCCACCCAAGTCCAAACCACATCCCAACCACCCAACCACCCACCCCACCCCACCCCCACAGACAGGGGGCGGGGGGGGTGGTTCACGGCCTGGAACATATATATATATATATGCATGTATATGTATGCCTATGCTTTGTATATATATATATAGACAAACACATATCTGGACATATGATACCTTCATTTCACGTCGTCGCACGGTGTTCCGGACCGTTTCTCAGGCTCTGTGGAGGAGCGCCTGGGAGCACTGCTCATCTCCTCAGTGGGCCCGGCACTGCGCCCGGCCTGGGCACCTAGAGCCCCGGGAGGGGGCGAGGGTGGAGGCTGGGGGGTGCTGGCGGTTTGGGCGGTTTGGGGGTTGGTTCTGGATTTTGGTTTTCTTTGAATTTGTTTGGGATGTTTGGTTTGGGCTTTGGTTTGGGGGGAGGTCGGCTGTAGGGTTTGGAAAAGGTCCTGCAGGAGGGTTGCTCTGATTTGATTGATTTGGGAGTTGGTTTGGTTTTGGGGCAATGTACGTGAATGTGACGGGCATATGTAGGATAAGTCTGGGTGAGTGTCAGGCAAACGCTGAAACCACGAAAATAATGTGGGATGCATGCAGGAAAATCCATTGTAGCATATTTTCCATGATCTGAACATGCCCCTTGTCCATACCCCTTGGCTTCTACCATGACTGAGTTTGTAATGGCTATAATTTGCTGCGGTGGATGCCCTAAGTATTGCAAGTAGACCAACCATACTCCACCTAAAATGTTTAAAAGCCATAGCACATTGCAGTAAATGAGAGGGTTTCCCTGTTCCCTCACTTACAATGTTTAGGGTGTCCACAATCCCAGGGATATTGTGTGAACAGAGTAAACCCGGAAGTTCCATTCACAGCTTTTTTTTTTTTTCAGGAAGACACCGCTCCCCGGGGTGCAGTATGTTCTAGGGGCAGGGTACTATGTGTGGTGATTCACCATGGCTATAATCTACTCACCGAGTCTCCACAAACGCCCCAGCGAGATGGCGGGGGCGCTCCATGGTCCCTGTCCTGGCGAAAATCGGACTGCAAGAAGCCCTCACCCCTGATGTGGGTATAAATACCCTCACACCAGTCCCCTTTGTTTTTTTTTGTTAGACAAATTGAATCTGTAGAATGTATTTTCGAACTTACCGATTCGGGCGTCAAAACCGGGCGAAAGCCATCGTGAAGATCCTTTACTTGGGGATCGAATCTTATTTCAGGTTTTGGACATGTCAAATATGTGCATTTGTTAAGAAGATTTCGAAGCCATTTTGGGGGATCCACTTGAAACCGACACGCCCATACTGCCCCTCCCTTTGGGTCCACCGGCGGTAGGGACGATCTCCGGAGATGAGTCACAATCAAAACCCCCGGGTAAGTGAAGATTAGTAAGGGACAATTGCAGCCATAAATAGCTGCGGATATCCGCCTTCTTAGTTCTTGAAGCATTTCCATTAAACCACCACAAGTTTTTCATTTTTAGCAGGGGAGCAGATTTCGCAACCGAGGCAAGTGGGCGTGGTTTTGGTATGTTTTGGTTTGAATTACTCAGGTGGCCCGGCGGCTGCTGGGCCCAGGGCAAGGCTTGGCGCGGCGCCTGCGCACGGAGTTCCCCAAGCTGGCGCGGCACCTCTGCTTCCGCGAGGCGGAGGTGCGAATTTTTGCCGACGAGCCGAGTGTGGGGTGTGGCTTTGGTTTAAAGGGAACCCTCCGAGTGCCTCCCCGCCAAATATGTATATATATGTATATGTATATATGTATAATGTCTAGCTTTGGTTTAAGGGAACTCTTCCCCCCCCAGAAAAAAAAGAGACAAATATGAAATAGAAATATGTGGCGTTCAAGTGTTGGATGGTTCCGTGCTAGGAGATGTCTAACAAACTTGCTGGTTCGATGGGCAGGGAATGAGTTGGAATGACCCCGAGAAAAAGCCTCCCTGGTTTGGTTTCCTTTAAGGGAAACACCAAACGGTTCATACCCAACACCCGGAACGGTCATGCCCTACTGAGCAGCAAGGTGTTGAAGATGCGGGATGACCAGCCAAGAAGGAAGTTCTCCCTCCCTTACTCCAGTTCCCTCGAGCTTGTTTTGCCATTTGTTTGGAAAGAGAAAGGGTTGATGTGGAGGTGGGGATGGGAATGTGAAGGGACACGGCAAATGGATCTAGAAGAGAGGTGTGAGCACGGAAGTGAGCAGAGTGTGCTGATGAAGATGGAGCACATCTATTCTGTGTGTGTGTGAGCAAATGGCCATGGGTCAAAATCCCGTACCCCCAGTGAACATCCCAATCCCCACTCAAATGCACCAAAATGCATGGTGCACCTACCCCAAAATGGTACCATTGGTTTTGACCTGGCACTTGCTGGTGCGGGAAGGACATGGAGTGGACAGCCTAAATTTCACGCAACAAACTGCAGGCTGACCCAATTGTCCCATGTCTTGATAAGGGACAAACATAGTGTTTGGCTCACATGAGGTGAGCAACATGCCTCCACCGCATCGACCTTCCATGTGGGATGTGTTGCGTGCGCTCTGGCAAGTGAACCCCCAATCCGCCAATCAGAACTGAAGCTGGGGGGTATAGACCAGTACTTTTGTTTCTGGGTGGGACACTTTGACCGCATATCACCGCCCCCTCCCCCCCAAAACAGAAACCAGGCGAGCAAACATAGTTGCCTCTTTTTCTTTTCTTTTTCGAAAGACCGCAGGCCTGGCGTGGACACCCCCGAACAGGGAAACACCAGACCCGCCGCCTACCTGGGCGTCGCGGCTAGGGCTCGGCGCACTTTTGGGCTCCAGGACCTGGAGCCGCCGCAGAGCTCCTGGCAAGAGGAGGCCAGTTGAGTGAATCGTTCCGCCGGTTCCATACCCAGAAACCAGTGTGCGTTAGTCATAGGGGAAACCTCAGGGCACACCTTTGGAACCTGAGAATTTGTTGGTTTGAAGGAGTTGTTACAGTTTCGGCTGGTTCGATAGGCAGGGAGTGAGAACTGGAATGAGCCCTCTGAACCATTTTTTGTGGTTTCCTTTTAAGGGAATCCCCTTCCGGTTCATTCCCAAAACCCCAGCAAGAAAAAAACATGCCTTTTTGCATCCGGGGCCACTGGGCCACTGGGCAATTGCGGAGATACGAAGAACCTCTTGTTTTTGGTGGCGCTCGCTGGAAGGAGTTTCTCAAGGCAAGCAACGTTCCATGGAATTCGGACGTTAAAAGCTGTCAGAAGTGCAGTGATCACGAGATCACGGGGAGAACAGGGAGAGAGCTGGCTGGGAGTCCTCAGTCAAGGGGATTCCTGCAATAGGAGTGGGGTGCTGCTGCCTTGAGACTACGTTTCAACTTGGTTATTTCGCCATGACCAATGTTAAGGTCTTTACGCCGCCACTCATACATCAAAGATAATCATCGTTCTATCACTGGTTGTTTGGATTTGTGCTCGTTGCTTGGGGAGCATATTGTGAGCACGTTGTTTTCCAAAAGTAGGAGCTGCTTCAAGTGGTGATTAGTGTTTCCCCCTGCAACCATTCACAGACCTCTCCGGAGTCACACTCACAATCCGGCAAAAGCACCCGGTTTATCCGCATGAAGTTCGGGTGGATTCCAAAAGTACCAGCATGTGATGAATCCATATTGTTTTCTGGAAACCAACGTTGGTGATTCGACCAACCAGGACGCTTCAAATTCCCCTGGAGGTGTTGCAAGTACCATGATGAATCCATAAAACGCAAACATTTCCCTGAAGGTTTTGCGAGTATCAATCCATAGAACACACACCAACGCGATGGGACCAACAAAAAGGCTTCAAGATCCTCAGCAAGAAGCGCCCTTTTGATTCCTGATTCCAAAGGTACCACGACGTGATCTTGAATCCGGTGTTTTTGCTTTTAGAAACTAAGCTCCGTGATTCGACCCACCAAAACAACCCAAACTGCCCCAAGATCCGAGCGGTTTCGCCTGCAGGAAGTCTCCCTGCACTTGGCCAAAGCCCGGGAATGCCGCGACTCGCTGTTGGCCATGGATCTCATCAAGGACCAAGGGGGCTACCTCCTGGGTTTGGTCGACGGGAACTCTCGAATGTCGGTGGGTGGGTGCGAAAGCCTCTTAGGCAACACCGTTCAGAAGCCCAAGGCCCGGAAAAAATACCAGCAAACAAGTGTTTCAACCATGGGTTCAAGTGGTGCAGGATGTCCATCCACAGTAAATACAATGTAAACCAACCACAAATTCCATGGCTAAATATGCCCAAAGGTGCCCTACTTACAATATTTAGGGCATCCACGATCCCTAACAAGTGAGCATCATGAAGCTTCCGCAGTGAAACCGCCGCAATGCAACACCATGAGGCATGGCATGGTGTTTAACAGAAAGGAGAGCAAGCAGTTTCGGGCAGCACAGCACCGTTCCCAGAGGGATGCTTCTTTTTGGACACCATATCAGGGGTCTTAGGCAGCCATTCGCTTTTGATCTGAATGTGTCCCAAACTCATTGGGTCGTTTTGTGTTTGCTTTCCTCAAAGGAGGTCCCAAACTTTGACGTGTTTGAACATGGGAAAACCAGCATTCGTTGGGTGGATGGGAGGCTTTTTCTGTTTGGAGAGCGTCCTTGTCTCGCGCAATGCGAGGATGCCGTAGCCCGGCCCGGAGCTCAAAGGCACGGCTTTGCCAAAGGCAACCTTGCAAGTCCTTCAATTGAGGCACAATCAAAACCCGGGGAACTGAAGGTTAGTAAGGGACAATCCCAGCCATAATTAGCTGCGGCCGCCTTCTCAATTCTTGAAGCATGGTTCTGGGTCGACCATTTTGTTCCCGAGTTTTGATCATGACTCAACTGAACCATGGCCATGATTTAGGGAACCACCTGCTGGGGTTTCTTGACAATCATGCGGGTTATCTGAAGTCCTTCAAGGGTTGCGACCTTGGTTGAAGATAGCCCACGTAGAGGACTATGAGTGTAAAGAACTCAAGTCTAGTGAAGAGCATCAGTTTTAGTTTTATAAGGTGGAAAAGAGGTTGAGTGTTGGACGAACTCCGTTTCGCACCACCTAAGAATCCCTGGATTCCGATGCTTTTTCCATAAACACCAAACAAGTCCTATGGCTTCCAAGTGGTGCCCAGGGACTTCGCGTCCATCCACTTTTCGGTGCCCCGAGGCTCGGAGACTTGGAGCCGAGAGCCTGAGAGCTCAACACCTGAGGGATCAGTTGCACCGGAAGCCGGCAGGGCCAAAGCCACTGCAAGTGGGAGAAGACGTGGGGCTTTTTGGTTGGGAGAGGAAGTTGGGTTTGAGCCGGTTCTTTTCGTGACTCCGAAGTGCTGGAAGCCACATATTGTGTGTTTCAAGAAAGCTGGATCCCCGGGCGAACTGCTGGCTTGCCACAAGTGCCCACTGCCAGCCTAGTTAGCATTGAACTGCTTGTCCAGTGATGGGTGTAAGTGTCAACCTGACACGGGTTCAGGCACTGGTTGGGCGACAACCCCTATCCAGTGCCTCAGTGCTTTGGCAAACAGGGATGCAAGAGCATCTCGGAAAGGAAGCGGTGCATGCTTATATTGCCCAGTCTCACCCGCAGTGATTTCAGGGCGCTGATTGAGCCGTTCTCATGGTTACTGCTTACGTGAACCGGGCCCCAAAGGGGCAGGCCGAATCTCGCAGAACGCTGCAAGAAAGGTTGAAAGGCTGCACCGGATCTCCAGTTGTGCCCGTTGCTTTTTTCCATTTTGTCAGCGTGGGGGGGGGGTTGCTTTTCGAGATTGAATCCATTGCGGTTCACCTTGCTTGTGGATTGCCCTGCAAACAAAACCAGACAATACAAGAACCCGCAAACAAACCAGCAAGCAAGCAAGCAAACAAACGAGCAAGCAAGCAAACGAGCAAGCAAGCAAGCAAACGAACAATCAAACGAGCAAGCAAGCAAGCAAGTAAGCAAGCAAACAAACAATCGTATTCAAAGATCATGAGTTTATATTTTTAATCGTTTTGCATTTGTTTCTCAGGTGACGAGAACCATCGAGGTCTTTGGGAATTGGGCCTGGGGGAGAAAAAGGGTCGTAGTTGTGTTCCGCTTGATGGTGCCAGCTGTCACATTGTTGTCCCAGCTCTTTTTATTTCTTGCAAATCACTTTGGCCCATGGCTTCGAGTTTAAACTTCTCTCAGGTGAAATGTACAAGTAAGACTCGTCGGTAAATGCGAGGTCCACCAACCCTTGCGTCAGACCTCCCACCCGCCACAACCCCAAACCCAAGACATGTGTGTGTGTGTGTGTTTTTGCGGGTCCCTGTTTCTGGGTGGTAGTGAGACCACCAAAAGGAGAACCTACCGCCCTTTCGGGCAGCTCCAAGAAGACCCAGCCAGGGCGCCCTCCGTGCTGTCGGCGGTGAGCACCAGCACCTCGCTGAATGCTCGCGAGTCCTTCGGTCCAGCTCTATTTCTCAGGTCTTTCAAGTGAGCTGTTTGCCATGTTCCTTGGCTTCGGGAGTGGTTTCTTGGGCCTTTGGAATCTTGTGACATGTGT